ATGGTACATAGGCTTAAGCATCCGATAGCCCCACATCTTACCTAAGATGTGGCCTAAGAATTTCAGTGGCCACATATTTTTGCATGGTCAAAATGTTCTCAAACAATTTCTCCAATGTCTGACGCACATAAACAAGTTTTCCTTCAAAACCAGGCATGACGGTCATTTTTTCCTCCTTTTTCTCTTCAACAAACACAGTTATTGTGGAAAACGAAAGGAAAATTCCACTCTTCATTCATGTTTGAGCTCCTCTGTCCCACTGGAACATCACATCTTGGCCAGTAATGTCGCATAAGATGTAATGCTACTTATGTCTATTTTTTTTTTCCTTAAAAAGGAGCCTGTTTCAAGTCGTTAGTGTTTTCCGTAGAGTGTCTGTTTTTTTCCCTCTCTTGCTGTTCTGGTCTGGGTTTTTGTTTTGTTTTCACTTTTCTTGAGAGCAAAAAATCGTTTGGATCAACAGTCTCAATCCACATTAGTAAAATAATGCACCACAGCTGATTTACAATTGCAGGCATCTTTATCTTTGCCTTTGGGTTATATAGGTTGATAGGTTCCTTTTGATGACCATTCCTTTCCTGGACTCAAACTTAAAGTGTTGCCAGGACTGAGGCAAAGGGTTAACCGTTCAGGGCATGATTCTCCATCAGGAACATCAATAGGCATAGAACTTACCTTCCTAATGGTCTCATGGAGGCAAGCTCTGGTTTTTATATCCTGAAGCATAAGTTTAGCTCTTCTTTGTAAGTGAAGGTGACAATTTCAGCTCCTCCTCCCTCCAAAACAAACAAACAAACAAATACTTTCTCTAATGGAAACCAGATAATACGAATTGATTTAGTAAACTTAAACAGCCATCAGCCACCTCAGCCCAGACAATGTTTTGAGGTTTGGGTTTTTTGTTTTGTTTTGGTTTGGTTTTTTGGTTTTCTAATTCACAGAATAAGCTGGTATCTCTTGGGCTACATCACACTTACAGAATTTCAAGTCAATTCAACTCTATGCAGGAAGCATTTAATAGGTACCTATTATATGTCAGGCATTGCTAAATGCTAGAAATACAAAGACAAAAATACACAAATGAAAACATTTCTGTCCTTAAGAAGCTTATATTCTTGGGGAAAACACTGTGTAAACAGATAAGTAAATACAAAAATGAATATTAAGTAATTGAGGGAGTCAGGGTTAACTGGGAGTGGGGGGGGAGGGCAGGAAAGGCTGGTTTGGAGTGCTTAAAAAGTGAGAGATTAAAAAAAAATTTTTTTAATTTTAAAAAGTAAGAGACATACCCACCTATCAGAGACTTTCCAAGTTAAAGACAAGGTGGAACATATCAAATAGTTGACTTTTTTCCTATGATCCCGCTAGAAGGCTAGGATTCTATGAATCAAGCAGTGGTTTAAGATAAAGAAAAGAAAAGCTAATCCCATTAATAGGGTTGAATACATCTTCCTCCTCACATTCCAGAAATTCAGGTTCTTACAAATAGGAGTCTCTAGAAGATGCCGCAGGAAATGTCTGTGATCCTGACAGCTCGTCAGGTTTGCCAAGTAGAGGGAAAAGCAGGGTAAAACCCAGCCACTTAACTTTAGCACTGGGGCCTTCTGTGGTATGAGTCAAGCTACATATTTTTTCTTCTTTTTTGGAGTATAGAGGGTACAGAGGAGTAGAGATGGAGGAGACCCCAGTGAGCATCCTATTTCAAATCTAAACAATTTGGTGGTCGGTAGGCAGTCAGTCCAAAAGAACGGTGACCAGAACAGAGCCAGACAAGACATGCTAAGCAGCCTGATCACTGTACAGAAATGCATGGTCTCATTTCATGGCGGGGCCACCAGCAATGGCACAGTAGAGATTGGAAGGACTTTGATAGGGAACTTTTGAGTTGTTTCACAGCTGGCTCCCAGCCAGTGCAATGTACATACTGGAGAACCCTACTTGTCAGGTACCCAACATTATTACTAAGATAACAAAGTCATCTTTTTCCCTTGGAAGGCATGAAGTCAGCTAACTTTTCAGTTTGCCAAACCTTTTCAAACACTCTGGATTCAGAAAAATATAAAGTTTATGTTGCCAGACACTTTCCCCCCTCCACTTTCAGGCTATATGTGTTCTAGGGGAAACTAAATTCTTTCTGACTCAATTGCCTGTAACTCATCAAAACCATTGTTTTCTAACAGCCAACTGTTTTGGAGCCATTTTAAACCCACTCCCAGCCCTAGCTGGTTTTTTCCCCTTAGCAACAGAAAAATTCACTTTTCCGATGAGCAAATCAGAACCCAAAGTGAAACATTTTGGTGAAATGTTAAAAAGACTATCCACGTGACAAAGGGAATTTTCCATTCCTAAGATGTCTCAAAGGAATGGCATATTGGGAAATAGCTCTGGGATGACACACTAAGTATTTGGGGCATAGTTACTATTATCTCTGTCTCCTGGCCTAGACAGCATCCTAATTGTGTCCAATATCTTATATCAAATGAAAATATGTGCATTTTTAAGTGATTCCGGTATAATCATCAGAAACTCAGTTACTCTTACCAGTGCTACAGTTTACCCAGGACAGGGAGGTGATCTTGGGTTAGCTGGACTCTTTCCTCTAAGCTTGTTGTTCACAGATTCACCTTTAGAAATTGGCCTTTTCCCACTCAAACCTGTGAAATGTGCTTGGCCAATCAGTTTATATTTGTTCATGCTCAGGAGAATAGACAGCAACATTTGCTGGAAGTGGAAAGGGCCTCTAGGGAGATCACAGTATGAGAGGCCTTTAGGGAATCTGAGTTCAACCATTCCAAACCTGAGTGCCATGGCCAGCCAAGTCCTAAAAGCAGTTGCCAATTTGTTCAGATGCTATTTGACTATGTAACAACTATGTGGGCTACTTCAACTTTTTTTGTTTCTTTACAGTCAGCCATGTTGGACCCTCAAGCTCCTGTCTGTCCTCATTCCTAGCCAACTAGAAAGTTCAATCAACAAGGCTATTTGGATCACTTCTGGGCCTCAAAGTGCTACACCCAGAATGGGAAATTCTGTTCTCTCTCCAGTAATCCTGGCAAACAGCTGGGAAGACTATACATCTTCCTGAATGTGTAAATGATGAAGGAGAATTCTCAATAGCTAAGAACTCAATCTCTATCTGTGTTTGTTCTGAGAGTCACAAATAATGACCGAGGTGCTTTTCAGCTTATGAGCTGTGCTGGACATATCAAATACATTTCTGAGTTTGTTGGTTTTGACTGAATCTCATCAGTAATTGCTTCCTTCTTCTATTGAAGACATGAAGAAACTGCAATTGGAAGACCATCTGCCCACCTGCCTTTCCTCTTTTAAGTGATATTTTCCCCCTCAAGCTCATTGAGACATACGGTCTGTACATTACATGTCTACAAATGTCTGCACATCGTGTTCGATCTGATGAATAACCATGACCACTGGGTTATAGCTATCAGTTTGGTGGTTGTTTTGGCTTGTTTTTTACTCTTACAGAAATAATTTTGCTTCATAAAATATATGTATATATAGATATATGTATACATATATCTGTTTTCATATAAGCATATATGTATGTATGTATGTATATATATATATATACACATATATATACCCCCGATCCCTCCCTTGAGACATTGGGGGTGTGAAGGTTCCTTGAAGCAGTGGAGAGAACTCAGAATTTGTAATCAAAGGGCCTGGATTCAACTCCTGATTTTGTAAATTACTACCTGTGTGTCACTGAATAAGTTACTTAATCTCTCTGGGCCTATTTCCTCATTTGTAAAAAAAAGTAAGAATGTTAGACTAAAAGACCTTTAAGGTCCTTTAATCTGTAAGTCTTTATGTCTACAATAACCCCATGAATATCCTTTCTCTACTTCTTTCCCAGCTGCTGTGAAAGGCGTGACAATGATGATGATGATGATGATGATGATGATGATGATGATGATGATGATAACGATGACAAGATTAGCTAGTGTTTATATAGCTAATTGTATAGCTCTTTAAGATTTACAATGCACATTACAAATATCTCATTTTATACTCATTTTACAGATGATGAAACTGAGGCAGGCAGAGGTTAAGTGACTTGCCCAGGGTCACCCAGATAGTACTTTGTGAAGCTACTCAGGTCTTCCTGCCCCCAGGTCCAGTTCTCTATCTCTACTGTATCACCTCTATCATCTGGTCTGCATCAGAAGACAGGGTTTCTTGGCTCCCCAGGTAAAAAACTCAGAATTTATTTTCTCATAGGAACATTGTAAATGATAGCTGTGTTCTCAGGATAGCTCATAAAAGTCCCTTGCTGAACTACAGTAGGTTATTCTCAAAACTTAACCACCATTTATGACATTTTTTTGTAGAAAAAAAAATGCTCCAAATTCCAAACTGACTTGCAAACTTTTAGTAGCTCATTTGTGAATTGTGGACTGACTACCCAATCTTGTAACATGTAAGTACACACACACTCGTACATAACCTTTTCAGAGAGGTTTTTCATAATCTTGGCATATACAACACCTGGTTCTTCTCCTTACAGCAGTAGCATTGAAGATTTAGGCAGTATATAATCCAGGTAGCCAGTCCTCTGCTTTCTGTAAACAGGTCTCATGGTTCTCCTAGTAGGAGAACTTCAATAGAAAATAGTAGTAAGTGTTAAATGTGAAAGTTACCAATTACTGCCTCATTTGCTATACCTGCAGTCCAGGAATTTTAAGTACTTGGGAACATTTTATAAGCTGAATGAATAGATAATTAACATTAGCTATGGCCTATTATTAATATCTTGGCAGCAAGGATGATCTCCCTATGCCAGTTCTGTATAATATACGAAATGAAGAAAATATCAACAGTTTCCAAGATTATTACTGCCGTCCCATCAATCTAAGTAGCTCAGACATCTCCTGGCCCAAAGTGTTTAAGTCGAGTACACTTGGGAAGCTAACCCAAATGCAAGTTTATCCATCCCACATGCAAATGTCAAGTGAGGTAACAAAATGCACACTTACCCATCTGTGCATCTCATTACCTTGTTTTCATCTATGAGCAAGACTGCATAGATCCATGAGCAAATCCACTGTGCAAAGCTTTTAACACCTGCCATTAGAACTTTCCATGAAGTCACCATAAGCACTGGATTCCTAGGTGCCCAAGAGATATGCAGCAAATTCAAAGATTTAGAGCAAACTAGTTCATCTTGGGAAGGCAGGTACTGTTGACGGGTGATAATAGGATCAGAAAGGAAAAATGGATGTAAAGATGTGGGTGTTTGTGGAAAAGAAAAACCACAGAATTGCTGTCAGGAAGTAGGAGAGAGTTTCATTCGTCTAAAAAAACTGAAAAACATCCGGTCTTTTGATGAGATCATACAGAACATAACTGAATTGTGAACCAGATTGGTATCATTATTATTTTTCAAGAAAGTACTGTAGTTGGACTTTGTAGCTTTTGGATGGAAGAGTCCCAGATAGCATGGATTGCATCTTCACCTTCTTGCTGATCTACCACTGTAGGAATCTCACAGGAGCGGTTGGCCCTTGGTGTCCCACTCCACACTTCCAAAGATCTCTTCCCTGGATAGGTGTGGATCCAACACCACAGAGCTGTGTCATTCACTTGTCCTTTGCCTCTTCCTCTCACCTCTCTCCTGCCATCATTAATCTCTCTTTTCACCAGCTTACTATGTGCCCTACAGTAGCCTCTAATCACAGAAGTTACAGGTTATAATAATAGGACTGCCAACCACTACTTCTAATACCACTAAGGCCTCAGAGTCCACTTGTCCAATTCATCATACAATGGAATGGAACAATGGAACAACTCGTCATAATGGGCAGTATGCATTCTAACCAATTGTGACAGCCTCTCCTAGAGACTTGTGCACACAGTGCATCTGTGGGTATTCTGTCCATAGCACCAACTATCATATAATATTGACCATATATGAAGACTCTGGTGGTATCTATACACACACCTGTGTACCCCAAATCTCAGTAGGACAAGAGCTAAGGCAGCTGGTGGCTCGGTGTATAGACCACTGCACCCAGAGTCAGGAAGTCCTGAATTCAAATCTGGCCTCAGACACTTACTAACTGTGTGACCCTGGGAAAAATCACTTAATCTTTCTCAGTCTCAGTTTTCTCATCTGTAAGATGGGAACAATAAAAGCACCTATTTCCCAGGTATGTTGTAAGGATAAAATAATATTTATAAAGTGCTTTATAAACCTTAAAGCACTATATAAATGCTAACTATTGATAATTTTTGCCTTAAAGTATGTTACACAGACAAGCTACCCTATGACATTCTATAATACAAATTCTTTTCTTTGAATGGCTATACCTCTACACAAAATAGGTCTCTTTTTCAGGAGGACCCTGGGGTGATCCAAAAGAATCATACATAAGTCATGAGAATAAGACTAAGTTCTCTCTTTGCTCCTACTTTTTTTTTGGCAAGGCAAAGTTAAGTGACTTGCCCAGGGTCACACAGCTAGTAAGTTTCAAGTTTCTGAGGTCACATTTGAACTCAAGTCTCCTCCTGACTCCAAGACCTGGACTCTATCTACTACACTACCTATCTTCCCCTTGCTTCTACTTTTATTAAAGTTAGCCTGTGTATACCTCTTCACACCTAGAAATCAGTTTAGGTATTTGAGTTTCAATACTTTCCAGGCCCTTTTCATTTCAAACAAACTCTTCAAACAAAATTCAAAACTTGAGTTTTCCAATAAAGGAAAACTCATGACCAGTTTTCTATTCAGATCTTATCTTTGTCAATCAGCCAGACCACATTCTACTGGGAGAAGTATCCTTCCCAGAGAATGCAAAAAACCCAACATTGGCCATTTTAGGGTAATCTTTTTAAGGGCGAAGTTGCCCAGGCAGCAGGAGTTTGCACTAGAATGGCAGTTCTTAAACCTTTGGGGGTCCATGAGAGAGATTTCAGGGGATCCATGAGCTTTGACAGGAAAAAAAATACATAATTATATTTACTAACCTCTACCTGAAATTTAATATTTCCTTCAATTATTTAAAAACATTACTCTAAGATGGGGTCCCTGGGCTTCACCAGACTGTCAAAGGGATCTATGACACAAAAAAGGTTAAGAACTCTCTGGACCAGAGGTTCTAGGTAATGCAATGATCATGTCTAGTGATTTAAACAGGGATAGGACAACAGTAACTTCAAATGTCATGTGAAGGCTTTTTATTTTCTCTGAAAGGGGAATAGGGAAGAAATTGTATAAGAGCTATGCTGCACAGGGTATGAGACAGACACAGAAAAATCGGCTGGCTCACCATAAAGAAATTCTGCAAATTAAGAGACTGCCCAGATTCTATGGATTGTCGAGACACTATGACATAATGAAAAGAGCCCCTGATTTGGAATCAGAGGACTCTGCTGTTTACTAGCTGGGGTACCTTGGGCAAGACCCTTTCCCCACTCTGGGACTCAGTTTCCTCATCTGTAAAATAAGGGAGTTGGATTAGATAATCTCTTTAACTCTAAAGCCATGATCCTTAGATCTTTGCTCGCTTACTCACACACACACAGCCTTTCTCCTTCTTTTGAATATCCCAGACAAGCCATGGAGGGTGCCCTGAAAAAGTGGGAGATGAACTAAGACATTGCCTGGCAGGTAAAGACATTTGCTTCCACTAGAATAATTCTTCTTCGATGTCCTTGCTCTCATGGCATGAGCAGGACAGGTGATGACATCCAATGAAATGCAGTCTTTATTCCCATATTCCTGACATCCAGAGATACATAACTCACTCAGTTCTCATGAATTATTTGCTCTGAAGTCATGAATGCTTTATTTTTTTTAGAATGTCATCGCCAACTGTGCAGAACAGTTAAGTGACTGGGGGAAAAATGGGAATGTCATTACTCCAGGCTACCTAATCTTATTTGAGGGCCCAGGCAAAGAGCTATCACATGAGCCAGATGAAGAAGGCTGTTTCACTTCCATTTTCCAAAGTTAAAATTCTGCAGTTTGGTTTCTATGCCTCACTTATAATTATACATGAAGACCTATCTCCAAATCTCGTCCAACTTGTCAAGGACTTGCCCAGGAAAGGATGGAGGCATTGCAATCCCGTATCCTACCAAATAATTTTCCCAACTCTAATTCATTAGTGACTTATTCCAAAAACATATGAATACTTACAAGATGGTTAATCCTCATTAAAAACTAAGATTACATGACATAATTACATGTAAATAAGAAAAATGAATTAAACTCTTACCCTTTCCTATGTCGGGCACTCCGTTGTGAATCATGTACACAATTAGAGTTATATTGCTAAGCTAAAAATATTGGTAAAGATCTAAAAATGACAAACAGTGCCTTTTAAATTAATGTCTTATTAGTTGAGTGAAGTACACTGACAAAGAATAATTTATGCTTATTCAAACTGCTCTCGACATCTTCAGGTGTTTCCAAATGAGCTCACAGAAGAGTGATTAAATGCATCTGATAACAAGCCACACATTGCTGAAATTACTTACCGCCTCATTTTATGATTAATTAAACATGTAGATTAAAGTTGCAAAAGAATTTAGATTAATGAGCAAGTTAAGTCTTGCTGATATAAGTGAATTGGGAATTGGATGCTCTGTGGAACTTTATAAACATGCATTTTATAATGAGTAAGACAAGGCTACATGCAGAATCCTGGCCACCAGGGCCTTTTGACGATGCAGTCTTTTTTAACATGGTTTGACAGCTTTCAAATAACATTCTACTATAGGCTTTAAACTTTGTGCATTGCTGTAAAACACGAGGCTACATAACTCATGTACCAGGAGTGCGATTATTTCCAAGCTCTCCAAGGTAATGACCCCCTGTAGCAGCAGCTGCTCAGAAAAATTACAAGCTCAATTGTTATTTTAATCAGAGATAGTTTAGTAGTTAAAAGCAGTTATGCAACTTGTAAAATTATATGACATTTCATCAGTAGCTTCTCTCCAACACGCCTTCATCCAAAAGAAAAACCACAGCCTCCCAGAGAACTTATTAGTAAAGCAGGGTGCTCAGTCATTCATAAAAAATTCAAAGCCATTTATTAGTGTGGTTTCTGTGCTAGGCAAGGTAATGTTTAAATTTATGACGACTCTTATCAGCTCCAAGAGTATGTCAAAATATCTGCTGGGGTTTGCTGAGTATCCAATTTTTCTCTTTTAAGATCAGCTTTACCTAATCCAAGTAGCTTAGTCAGTGTCAAAAGCCAAGTTGGACTTTATGATTTTCCAGGGCAAGAGCAATTCAGGTTGTTCACAGAGATGTAATGCAGCCTCAGCTGTGCAGGGATGCTCAGGTGGAAGTGAAGTGAGTAAAAGTTGCTAAACTAGCTCATGGTTTATAATAGATATGTTTTATTCCTCCAAGGGCAGTACAATGCTATTTATTGTACCCAAGCTTTACAGTATTCATGACCTGCCTCACGCTCCTACCGGTTCCCTGTGAAGGGCTCAATTTGCCACCTAAAATATAAGTCCAATTCCTTTCTTACATGATTCCTGAATCTCTACATGATCAGCTTTCCCAGCAAGAAAACCCTTTTCTATTTCTAAGGGCTGCAACATTTTTTTTTCTTGTAATGCATGTTCTGCGCCTTCTAAGGAACTACCAAAAAAAAACAAGTAAGGGAAGAAACATACAGAAAAATTGGCTTCATGACAAAGGCAGAAATTGAGGGTCATATTAACCTCACAGGTTTGTTTACCACGTGGACATAATTACCTGTTTGAAATTTCATATTAATGAGAATACAATATCACAATGAAGGATCTTAGAAAACCTTTGTGGTTTTCATTGAACTTGCTGATTCAATGCCACCAAAGCTATGAATATATTGAAAATGTCTTTTTAAAAAGTTAAAACATGCCTTGTATTAAAATAGCCAAAACAAAGTACCAACCTCTCCCTTTTAATTTGCTTATTTCCACTTAGTTTTATTCAAGTCAATGCCTTTCACTGGATAATCTAAACCACATTTCATCATCACAGTGAGTGACTTTAAATTTACAGAACTCTTTTCAATGTTCAGTGTCATGGCTATCTAAGCAGTAGGTGAAGAGAATGATAATGGGTCCAAGTTTAAGGTCCAAATAGGAGTCTTTCCCATTTGGACATAGGCTTAAATTCCTTGTTTCAATTCAGCAGATAAAAAAAATAGCGCGGAAAAAATTGCAAGAAAGCAGTGAAATTTTCTTTTTCAACTTACCCAGGAGCAAACTGGGCAGGAAGTCTCTTAAATGCTACTCTCTTGAGGCCATAAGTCTTATTTTGCAGGCCCCCTAGAGAAGAGGACAGCTCAGACAGCTTCCATTCTTGGAGGCGTGTCTTTGACTCTAGCTATTGCTGCATCATTTCCAGGTCCCACTAATCACAGGGTGTGTCTTGGGTCTATTAATAATTTAATAGAAATTATGTTGTTCCTATGACACAGACCTAAAATGCAAGGCAGATAAAATTACTTCCAGATGAAAGGGATTCTTTGAAAATAATTTTAGATTCCCCAAAACTGAGAGCATTTAGCCATCATATATATATATACATTTTGAGTAACATTATCTTGTTTCAGACATTTTAAAGGCATACTCATATATATTTGGTTATTAGGAATTAGAGATTTGTCTATTATGTGGTGAACCAAAAACAGAGATACTGTGATGAATTTGAAGGATAGAGGATGGATACCTTGTTCCATCTGCAATTAAAGTTGACCAAAAGTCTGCCT